TTTGAGTGTAACTGCCCCATGCCATATTTATCCTTTGCTTGACTAAGCATACATGCAATACAAATAGACAGCGGCCTGACCTGAGGAACAGCTAGACCCTCTTTGGGAGACGCTGTCACTGCACTTCAGTGAACACAGGTACTACAGCAGCATCCATTTTCAATGAAAAAAACCCTGCAGTCTGCTGCCAGAAACAAATTAAAATAAATCATCGCCTCACCTTGCATGCACTTTTCCAGCAAATCTGGGAGTTCAACAATTCAGTTGACTTAGTTGTTTTTCACCACTTAACAGAAAACAGGGCCAAACTGCGTGATGTGGTGTTGTCCTGAGGCAATGGGATCAGGCCTGGGGCTGCTCAGTGCCACGATAACCTGCACTCCATGATCTGCTTCCCTGTCTATCCCCTCTTTCTACTCCTAAATTCTCCTCCTTTACCTTTATCCCCTCCCCATAAACAACTTACACTCATTTATCTTCTCCCTATTATCCCTGATGTTGCAGATTTTGTACTTTATTTGGTATTTATGATAATGGCTGGCCTGAAAATTTATCAGTTTTGTCAAGTTAACACCTCTTTTTTGCCTTGCTAGGTGTGCCATCTGCTTACACTCCTTATCACCCCTTGATTGCTGTAGGTAGTATCCAGTAATTCATCTTTTTACAGCGTTGGTAACAGTGGGCAGGGTTAGCTGCCAGCAGGCACCCCTCACCGCAGCTGAGAGCAGCAGCTCATGGAAGTCACCCGAGGTACCCACAGCCAGGCTTGCCCCTGCAGAGCTGCTCGCCCAAGGTATGCGAGGGGCAGCAGGAGCACCTGCAGCTCAGGGCCTCGCTCTGTGGCACTGCAGCACTTTTGGAGCTGCACTGGCCACCCTGCAGCGGTGAGAAGATGTAGGGTAACAAAAGTGCAGCACTGGAGTATTCCAAGTCAGAGGAAAACTAAGAACGAACAGCTTTTGTGCATCAATGGGTCATCATGTTGCTTTTTGTTGCTGAAATAAAGTCTGGTGGAGAGACTTGTGATGTTTACTGTGTGGACCAGCAAAAAAACCAGGACCAAACTACGTAACACTCAGTAGGCCTCTAGTCTATGTCTGTACTCACTCCACAAAGGCACACTGGAGAGCAAGTCCTGATGCCCTGGGCAGGTGCTGCAGACCAGCACATGTCCTTGCACCTCAAGCGTTCTGGTCTGTGCTGCAGCTCAGTGGGAGCAAAGTCGGGAACAGATGCCTATGATACAGATTACCTCCCCAGGTCTCCAACTGTCTTCTCAGCCATACCCAAATTTTCATGGGGAGAGAATATTTAATTGACTCAAGATCAACAGAAAGATTTGTTTGTAGAATGGATGAGAGGGAACGAAATCCTGGACTGGTATTAGGAGCATGCCAAGTGACCAAGGGTACCAAAGAGGAGTTGGCAGCATGATGCCATTGGGTACCAATAGCAGGAGGAAAAGTGTCTCTGGAAAGCAAAACATGGGCAGGCAGACGGTTAAAGGACAGGGATCATTGGTAACCATGTCCAGTATGCTCCCCTGTAACACACATGTGGTGGAAGGCAGGCAGAGAAAAATGGTGTTAGAAAGGAATGCCTTTATTAGGTACTAGGAAACTATTGAGAGAGCGCTCATTTATGTCTCCTCCACCTACACCAAAACTGAAGTAGGGCGTTAGGTACACAGCTAGGGGGAAAAAAAAAAATGTACACAGGACATTTAAAAGCAAAGCTTGAGGGAATGAGCACCCATTGTGCTAATTCCACATCTGAAAGAAAAATGTCTTCCTCCTTGCATTACACTTTTGCCACATCATTAGCCACACCATTGCATTACCCCAAATACCAGGCTCCTTGCTTCAGCACCCTAGAGATACCATTCTGTAAAAACAACCTCTGATCCTATTCCTTCATCTGTACAAGGATGTGGTTTGGATGGATGAACCCAGTTTACTAATGATTCATATTACTTCGTATTTTCCTTTCCAATTACTACATGTCAACTGCAAGTCTTAATCATTTCCAGATCATTTAGAAAAATATTCATCAGAAATAATCCTCGCAGACGCCTCCCAGAAATACTCTTATCGTTTCTCATTCCTATCTATATTTAAAGATTTGTCAGTCAGCTATGATGTGCCTTACTGATCCTGTATAGTTACTTTTTAAAATTAAACACCTTGTTGGTTTTACTATGCCTACTCAGCACAAAACCACTTGGATTGCTCATTACTATGAGCTTTTCATCTTCTAAGAGCCTCTTGTACCAGCCTTTTTTTGTTGCTCTGTTTCAGGTGGATAGCAGGAACATCAGCTGTCAAGAGTGCTCAGTTCTCCCAAGCACTCAGCTTGTCCATTTTAAAAAACTGGCATTTGCTTTCTTCCAGTGGAGTACCTTATTCGCCATCCTGAAATTTAATCAAAACTGTCTTTAGTGGAGAAGAGATCTCTTAGGCCAACTTTTTGGGACTCAGCTTTGGGAAACTGTATCATTTCAAAGCACAGGGAATGCATGTTGTTAGCAGAAACAACCTGACTGAAAACAGTTGGACCATGACTGACGTCACACCAGAGGGGCAGAGAGCAGCAAGCTGATCAATCAGGATGATATAAGATCGAAGATAAGAGGTGGTATTTGGTTGAAGGCAATAGTGTTTATGTTAATTTATCCTTTTAAAAAATCCCCAGTAAGTTTATGGCTGGTTGTATAACATTGTCAACAAATCCGTTAACTGACCCTCTTCCTCTCTGTCTCAAGTCCAGAACAGGTAACTCTCCAATTCTGTGTTATCCTTCCAGAAGAAATACTCAATGTTTGTAGTTAGGTGACATACTTTATCAGCGTTTAGAAACACTAAAATCCATCAACTAGAATTTGTTACTCCCCTTGTGTATTACCTAACCATCTGGCACTACTGGAAGTTTATTTTATTCCTATTTATCACACTGGTTCAATTTTTATGACACTTGCACAATGGCAACACCAAATCTTCACCTTCCTGGTATCCTCACCTTGTATTATTAATTTAATGCCCCACAGATAGCTCCAATTCATGACCAAAAGAAACCCCACAAAACGCCACAGCTCCCTCACTTCTGGCTTACAGTCAGTTCCATTTGTAAATATTCTCCTTCCAAAGAAATTCACTTCCCCATACAAAATGCTTTAACTGCATGCAGTGGTGTACAGCTAGATGTTCATCCCTGGCACTACTTCTTTCTGTCATGCGGAAAAGTATCTCCACTATAAATTTTTCCTCATCTTGTCCTATAGGCATTTTCAAACAAACATTTGTTAATGGTGTGAACGAGTTTCCCAAATCTTTACATGTAGAATTTATATTTTAAATCTTAGCATGTAAGAAGTGGTCAGAATCTTCAAGATTTGGGGCTTAGATCAGGCATTGAGTTTGAGAATGACTCATGAAAAGTCAAATGTCGACGTGATGACAAAAAGAACTTCGAACAGTGTTCACAGAAAACTGGGGAGTTTCTCTTTCTCTGTTCTCTAATGAAAGGCTGCAATTTAGCAGCTTACTAATTGTGCTGTAATAGTTCAGCCAGAAAGGTACATCCAAAAAGACTGAAAGTAGCCAAGTTTAAGTCTTATCTATAATTTATCATCCATGAAACACAAAGAACAATTTCATAAACATATAGTTGTAAAACACGCTGAGAAAGTGTTATCACATGCTTAATCCAGAAAATAAATATGGCCCAAGGATAAAGCATAGTACATACAACACCTCTAACACCTATTTATGCATATGGTAGTTTTAAAAATGTTGTGATGAAATATAAGGTGCCAGCCCTACATTATTAGAACTGCTAAAGCTAATAATTTCGAACAGAACAACTGAGGATTAGCTTTGCATTACAGCCAACCAAATCTGTCTGTGGTAACAACAACAACAAAGTAAAAAGCACAAGCTTCTGTAACACAATCCCCTTTGTGAGACTTGGCTTCAGCTTTCACATTACATGGTTCATCCTCGAAGTAGATACCATCCAGAACTGAAGATGTACTGTCTATAGGGTATATTAAATTCAGCAGCTAATATAACAAAACTAATTTGAGAGCCATCTGCATATGCAACTGAAACAAAGGCACTTCGTCATACAGGGTTACGTTTCCTACCTTCAACAAAGGTAAACACGGAGAGACACTGATATGAGTTAATCTCCTCAAACCCTTTTCAACAGACACTTTCCCCCAGCATTTCCAGGGAATGGATTCCCGTGTAAGTCTCAAGTCAGACAGAAGGATGGCCTGGCAGGCAGAGAGAACTCCAGAGCCACACGGTCCTACCTCCAGACAAAACAAACGGGCTCCACTGGGCAAGACTCCCCAACATGACAGGAGCCATCGACCTGTTTGCAAACTCTGAGTAATAGCAAGGGACTCATCACACTGGGAGGAAAAAACACCAGAAAACCCTGACTGCATTAAGCCATTGCACTTCATCTGCTCTCCCCACCACCTCCACCACTCCTGTTCCAACTCAACTGGCACTGCAACTGAAGCTGACATACTCTGCCTATCCCCCTCCCCCAGTCATTCACCTTTTCTTTCCTTACTTAGAAAAAAATTGCATGGAAAAAACACAATGGAGGGGAGAGCAATGTGCATCATCATCGTATCATAAATTCTGTAACGCAGAAGGATATTTTCGATTAATGCACGCCGCTCTGTACAAGCATCAGCCAAAAAAAAGATAAAACCAAGGAAAAAGAGCCAAAAATACTCAGTTTCAAAAAAAAATAAAATTGTTCTTAAACTGCACATACAACTGAACTGTGAAGGCACATAGCCACACTGAGGCATCCTCTTTCTCTAGAAATGCCAAGCTTCGTCCTATTGGAGAATTTCTCACAGTACAACGTGTTTGAGCAGCACAAAAACACCTGCTCTTGCAGGATGCCTGCCTCAAACAGAAAGAACAGGAGGCCTGGCAACAGGCCTGTGCTGCAAACAGAACAGCTACATGGGATTCCACTGGCCCACGAGTAACACACTGAGTTCATTTTCTTATTAGAAAATACATTTCCAAATAAATTGTGTTTTAACATAAATTTCTGTGTGTCAATATAAATGCAATGGGTGCTCTATCATCCTGCCTTTCTCCAAGATAAAGACTAGCTTAATTTTTGGCTGCTTAGATTTTGTGATCAGAAAGGGTAGTTTTCCAATCAAATGCAAGTGTCAAAAACCAGAAGTGCTGTGTAATTTGTTCAGGAATGTACAGAAAATGCATTTCAATCCACATCCACGTCTAGTCCATGGATAGCGATGTTTTTCTCAGTGCTGAGTCCATTTAATGCTTTTGAGGTCAATTCCATCCTGCACCATTTCCCAGAGGGGGCTGTAAAGAAAAGAGAAAAATGAAGGCTATCTAAAATGCACAGGACAACAACAATAACCAAACAGAATTTCATCAACTACACAAGAAATGAGGAGATACCTATCCACCTATCTTCCCCTTCTGGAGGTCAGTGAGCTTCAGGTCACTAGTCCTCAACTGTGTCCTCAGCCCAAAATACAAGAGGTGAGTGGGCAGGTGCTCCACCTCATTTCCTGCTCCCACTTTAGGCATAAAGTACTCGTGTCTCTTAGACGGTGAGCTCTCGCATTTGACACTGTCCAGATGAGTCACGAGTCTTTCAGTTTCACCAAAAAAACCCAACTTACTGATACATAAACTGAGGAATACCATCTGTGGCTGAGAAACTTCTAGGTACTGCCCTACGTGCTTGCCCTACTCATGTTCTTTCCCTGACAAAGGCAGGATCTGGGAGGCGGCTTGTTATCAGGTTTATTTCCTTAAAAATTTGTCACTACTGTTAAGATCAGGCCCACTACCCACTCTGGCAACAGTGCTTGCTTATATACAGAGACACCACCAGATTTTTGAAGCAAACAAGAACTTTCAACTAAATCCAACTCTACAAACTATTATCATACCTAAGAATTCTTTAAGTTCAATAAGTAGATGGCTCACCTCATTTCCCTCAGCCTCTTAACATGCTGTATGCACTTCTGCACTGTATAATCCACTTCTTCCTCTGTAGTGAAACGACCAATGCCAAATCTAAACCAAAAGAAAACCATTAAGGACTAGAATAACATGCATAGGGAGGGGTGGAACAAATCCACCACCTACTTTTAGCAGGAAAAAAAGGTATTTGGAAGCATTAGGGAAGACCACTCCACGCACCTTATAGATGAGTGAGCCAAGTCTTCGTCTGTTCCGATTGCCCGCAAAACATAGGAAGGCTCCAGAGAAGCTGACGTGCAAGCACTGGCGAAAGGCAAGGCAGGCAAATTTCAAACTTCTGTTCATGTGCAGATGCTACACTGAAGCACCACTTCACTAATCTCCTCCAACAAAGAACAGGGCACTTACAGACATTTAATATTGCTATGACTCTTTACAACAACCTATATCAGCTTGCCCAGCCTCCTAGAAACTACCAGTGAATACAAGCAAGAAGAGTGGTATTTCTGCCACTGAAGAAAAAAAAAAGTGGAATGGGCAGGCATTAGAGGGGACATGAGGTAAGAAGAGGGAACACAGATAACACAGTAAGAATAAATACAATGCCAAACAGAAGCAGCGGGAATGCAGACTAAGAGGCAGCTGAAGTGACAGCCATGAAAAAAAGACAAAGGAGCCAAGATAGAACTAGCCAGAGAAGGTAACATACCAACAGGAATATTAGAAAAGAAAAAAAAAAAAAAAAGACTTCAGGATCTGCTGATTGGCAGAACAAATGAATGAAAAACAGCGCACAGAGGAATCCAGAGCAAGATGATCTAGATATAGCCGTCAGTAGAAAGAACTTCCATCTTGAAGCAGCAGGCAAAACTGCTTACATGTTGTTACTCAATTTTTGCAGCACAAACCACAGAGCTGTTTACAGATCTCTGCTGCACAAAGAGAAAATCTCAGAAGAGATTTAAGATATGCTGACAGCTTTGTTCTCAAAGGTGAGGAAAGGAAGGAGTCTTTACACTCCATTAACTTCATCATAAACATCAAGTTTGTCTTAGTAACAGAAACGTTAATTGTCACTCCTGTAGTCAACAGAGCTCCAAGCATAAATTTTCTTTCTGCTTTTGCATGAAACACAGGCACTATGAGCTAATTTAATTCATATATTTGTCCAGTCTAGCTAGATTCTAGTTATGATCTGGCCCTTGTGTGAAATCCAGCTGAAGGACAGAAGCTGCTCAAAGCCTTTAGAATGAAAGTGTCACTGGCAGTTATAGGTCAAGGCTACTCAGATCGTAGGTAATCAGTCTGCAAGGCAGGTAAGAATTTCTAGGTTGGTTTTTCTGGTTTTGTTTGTTTGTGTTTTTTGGTTGTTTGGTTTGGGGTTTTTTTTCAGGATGAGTAAATTTGACCTTCATTTGAAATGTACCACTTCAAAGAAACACCATCTTAGAATGCAGTCAATGCCAGCCCAACTTGTTAACCGAATACACAAATATGGGGCATGGATGAGACCACTCCTTAGTTTGTACCTCCATTAGCAGATGTTATTTTCTCTCCAAAATATACTGCTATCCTTCCCACACATTCCACCTACCTTCCTGAAGACAGAGCCACGTCTTTCAGAGCCATCAGAAGACTCTCCCCTTCCACATATGCAAAAGATAAATTGATGCATCCTACATACAAATAAATGAAATAGAAACTTCCATTAAATGAAATCTAGGGCAAATCCTACCCCACATGGCAGTACTTGCACAATGTGTAGCTAAAATGGCTTTAAACTTAGAGAGGGAAGATTCAGATGAGATATTAAGAAGAAATTCTTCACCATGAGGGTGGTGAGGCAGTGGAACAGGTTGCCCAGAGAAGCTGTGGCTGCCCCATCCCTGGAAGTGTTCAAGGCCAGGCTGGATGGGGCTTTGAGCAGCCTGGTCTGGTGGAAGGTGTCCCTGCCCATGGCAGGGGGGTTGGAACCAGATGGTCTTTAAGGTCCCTTCCAGCCAAACCATTCTATGATTCTATGATAAAATGCATTATTCAGTCATGGTCATTAACACTGAGGAGTTGACGGTTCTAATGGGCTCAGGATTTTGCTAATGTTACCTGGATAGCGATGCTCTCTATCTCCATTCATAATCACATCAGGAACTTCACTCATTATTTTTGTAACCAGTCGTTCCGCCAGTTGTGAGATTCGCTTATGGTCATACTAGCAAAGAAACCAGAAGAGAGATCAAAATAATAGACTCAAACTGCTTTGTGTCACCAGCCGTGAGAGACTGAAGTAGCTGGGTTTGGATTTGGTTAGGCAAGGGAAAGAACACATCTGAAACTTAGAAAGAAACTGTAAAACTTTGCCTACTCTAGAGACTGTTTTAAAATGGAATTACCAGTTTAGTCCTAGCTAGCTCAGCCTTCAAAAATATTCCAAACCATTCAGAAAGATCTATATATAACAAGCTGCCAAACTGGCTTTCATAAAAACATCGAGTTCTTTGTATTTAAAAACAAGTTAGGTAATGCATAAGATGACAAATTTTGCAATGCAAGAAAGGGCATCTATTATGGTAAGTGCCCCTTATTTCCCTAGGAGCTCTCAAACTGTACTACATAAAGACATGGACTCGCAAATTACTGTGAACTCAGCTTTTACAACACATAACCTACGCAGTGAGAACTGCCCACGTGCAGTGTCTTGTTCTAGACTAAAAAATGAGATCACTCACACTAAAAAAAAGCAGTAAGGTGTGGTATCAGCTCTGGTGCCTAGAAACAGCCAGATGCACACACACAACTCATGCTTGTTTACAGGCTTGGCAAAGCTTTAGAAGAAAACAAGGCTATCTCAAATATTACTTGGTTTAGAAACGCCAAAATTCTGCCAGGCAAGGACGAGAACCCAGATCTGAGGCTCGTGCAGAGTTCAGGCTCTGCAGGCTCTCCAGCCTCTAAGAAGGCTTCCATAACCACCCAGCTCAGTGGATCTCCGCCTGTCTCCCAGGAAGAAGCTTGATCCTATGTGTACAGATACCCAGCTTACGCATCCCATTGGCATGATATTAAAGGATTTTTACATTCCAGCTGTAAGGAATGCATTGGTGCCCACAAACAGATATAGCAGCACACAGAGGCTTAGGCACCAGATATAGCAAATAAACGTTAGTGTCCAAGCTAGGAAAAAAACCTTCACTCTTAGTTGCAAAGCTGCAGTAAACTTGAACTTACATACATTTAATAGGTATGATAATGGACTAGGAATACTTGCTTTTTTAATATACATTACATAAACATGATTTATTCCATTTCAGAGATGCTGCTAATATGTGTGTGCAGAATGGAGAGATGAGTACAAGCACTTAAAGCTGTATTTCACTAAAACTGTCAACTGTAAGCCTGTTGTAGAAAACCATGATTCAAACCACTTCAAGAAAAAAGAAACTTAAGAAAGCTGAAAATCAACTTCCAATTACCCAAAAACATCCTTGAAGATCTCAAAATATTTCCTTAATGTTACAACACAAGAATCAAATTTAATTCAAGCACATGGACACAAAAAGACCAAAGGAATCTAAGGCCTCACTGGCCTTGTTATATTATTTTCTGGAATCCAGGACAAATATCTTCTCCTACATACCTCCATCTCTTGCTGTGCCACTTCACACGCTGCCCCCAGACCCACTGCTAAAGGAGTGGGCACAGTCCCAGACCGCAGTCCTCTCTCCTGGCCTCCCCCACTTTGCAGGGGTTCTAGCCTGACACGCGGTCGACGGCGAACATAGATAGCACCAACCCCTTGAAAACAAGGAAAGCTGTTTTAGTATACACCCACAGTTCTGAAATTACGAAAAGGGACTCCAAGGTTTGGAAACATTTCTTATTTCCACAGCAAACACTTATTTGGATACCTCACTGAAGAAAAATGTAGTGAACACATACAGAAGCACAATATTTTCTAGGAAATGGTGTTTGTTCCCACCGTTCCTGTTCCTCTTCATTCAGGCTCCCACAGCCTCAGCCATGGGAGAAGCTCAGTTTCTCCCAGTGTGCTTAAGCCACCTAAGGACTCAGCACTTCCCTTATTTCTCACAATTCCTGTGCACAGCTGAGGTTCATCCCTTTGCACTGAAGTTTTTATGTGCAGATATTTAATTCACTGATGTTCCCTTACTGATGTCCAACTGAAAGCTCTAGAAGAACTCCTTTCCCTGGATCACCAGGCCAGCATGATACCCAGGAGTCCTCTCCCTTTCTTCTCATTAGGGAGACTCATCAATGGCACCAATTTCCAACGGGCAGATTAGATGAGCCAGTTTTGACAGACAGCCAATTTCACTTTCTAGTCTCATCACCTAGAAACCTGATTTCCATGTCTTCATATGCCGTGGCATATGTGACCATCAGAATGACCATGTGACTTTCTTTTCCCGAGTGACCATCACCACAGGAAGAATGGTTGCAACTTCTAGTCATAATAAGCTGTGAAAATTTATGTCTGTCACCTGCCCAAAGTTATTGCTTGAAAACTTCACTCTCATCCAGAGATATGTCTTCAGCTCTCAGGAGAGCTCATACAGCTCTACTGAAGAAACAATAATTTTGCCTTTTGTTCCTGAATAGCACACAGAATACAGCAAGCCTGATTTCTTTCTGTCTACATCCAGTGTTACAAACTAAATGGACTGTGACAGTGATAATAGCTGAACTTTTATTATTTGGGAATCAACTAGAAAATCCATAGCCGGATTTTAAACCCCATTCTGCAAGTAAGATGCACAAACGGGGTTGGGGGGAAGAAGCCATTGGGAGTAAAAGACAACCAAAATCACTAAAAATTTAAACTTTCCAGTTACCTTTTGATCTCCTCGTTGCAAGTTACACTTGGGTCTGAACTTTGCCCTGTAACCCAGTGATTTCATTTCAACCGTTTCAGCATCAATGCTGCTTCACACCAAGCAGATGACTCCTGAAAAGCCACTCCTCCTAATGCTGCCACCATTATAAGATATTGTTTCTTCCTTGGGTGAAGCCACCTCACAACCCACCAGCACTGCAGATCCACTTACCGCAGCTCTAAGTCTGGCAGCAGTGCCTGAACAACTCCACAGTCAGTCCAATACCAGTCTTAGAACAGTTGTCTACAGTTTAAGTAACAGTCACTATGACAGACAGGTTTGACTTCGTACTTTGTGTAGTTACCTTAAGGCAGGCATGGAAACAACATTTCTCTAGAAAAGCACTTCAGCAAGTACCTTTGGGTCCATAAATTTTATGGCCACTGATGCTCATTAGATCAATTTTCATGTTGTTGACATCCATAGGAATTTTACCAATTGCTTGTGCAGCATCTGTGTGGAAGAAAACCTTATGCGCGCGGCAGATCTGACCTGTAATAAAGACACAAAAGCAAAAAACCCCACGTTATCTCATCTAATTGTTATGATTCCAGTGATTCCAACAATAAATCTAAAGCATCACTTTCTAGCAGGGACCAGTTCTGAAGTGACAAAGGAAGAAATTGGTGCTGTCATGTTTCTTTTACAGTACAGCGTTGTGGTGGTGTATCCCCCCCGGCTCCTCTGGGCCTTGCTACAATCTCAAGAATTCCCATTAGGCCTTGGCCTTTGCACAAGGAGTTGGGTGGTTAAGCGTCCCTTGACCATACAAAGAACTCTCTCACAGCTAAGGCAGGAGTAACACTCATTGTACCGGTAACTCCTGTTGCCTGGCCAAGGCGGGGAATGACAGCA